GACTCCCTCAATCGCGGTCTCCCAAAAGACCGTGCGATAGAAGAGGAAAAAGTTGTGGAGAGATATCTTCGTTTGCGCGAGATATGAATTTATTTGGGCAGCCAGCCGCCCTCGCAGGCATTCTTCTCACAAAATCCCATGAAAATGAAAAAAAATTATGCGGCCCCTGTAGTGCGCAACAGCCTCCAGTGACGATGCGCCTCCGGTGAAAAAATAAAATAAAATGAAAAGAGGGTGTGGTGAGTGTGGCACTGCCGATCACAACGGCTCGCTGAAAGGAAAGGCACTCACTGTCTAGACCCCGTAGGCACACACATATAAAAATCGTTAAAATACTCCCAATATATTTCACCAGAACGAAATGCACTCTGTTCCCCAATTATTTCCCCAACTTTCTTCCCTATCCCTTTCCCCCAAGATCGTTGTGTTCTCATTTCTCCGATTTTACTTAAAAAACCACGTGTTAACACAAACTGGTATTGGTGTACCCTTCCGTCCCGGAACGCCACAATCTCTTTCTCAGCGTCGGTTTCATTATTGGGATTGACGGGACCACATCTCTGCCATTTTGATATCATTGTGCTGTCTGCGTGCTGCACATAAATCATCTCCCACGACAAACCCTGAGCAAATTCCTCCCAATTCGTAAAGAACCACGACAGGTGCTCAGTGAACTGCCGCACAGTGCTGGTTGTGGTGTGGTGAGCATGTGCCCTAGTCATCTGCAGTCCAGCCAGCGTCCTCCGCGGTGAATTCAAAAAGAAAAAGCCGTCCACCAGCGGAAAGGTTGGGGACGTCGGTATGCACAGCACCCGATACTTTAATTCTTGCAGGCGATCAATGAGCTTCAGTTCAGTTACTGCAGCTGCCTCGGTGGGGTAGCCATGAGGGTTTAACGTTAGCACCGAGGACCGTGGTTTGGAAGGCGATGGTGGCGGCAGCTCCTTGAGATCCCTCACTATGGAGGTGACAAAATTCTCAATCAAGAATACGCTCAAAGAATACTTTTCCAAGGCCTCAGATTGAAGAACATTCTTCATCCCCAATACGAGGAAAAAAATATCATGCGGACTCATTACCCTTGCCAAACGAGATAACGTTAAAACCCCAAGATACTCACATATAGGTGCATTAGCGAAGTCCTCAAATGGGCCATGTTCTCTTACGCGAACAATCCTCAAAAGTTTGTGAGACGGACCCTCGGATTGCCATTTTTCTCTCCCCCTGTGTAAAGTACC